TATATATATATATATATATATATATATATATATATATATATATAATTTAACAGTTTATTGTTTATTTCAATTTGTTTTATTATAACTTAAATATTTTTTTAATAATAAAATGTAATAATTAAACAAAAATCCATAAATGAGCTTGGGCTCTAGCTCACCAAAATGGGCTCAAGTTCGAGACAAAAAAAAAACACTTGACGAGCTCGAGTTCAACAAAATAAACTCGAGCTCGAGCCTGCAAAAACAGGCGAGCTCAGCTCGACCACTCCCCTACTTTCCTCTCCCCGTATTTCTAGTCAACGTTACATAAACTTACAAACTACCCATTTTGAGTAATGAGTGAACCCAAGTCAAACTTATTTTTTGTTCAAATATCTTTGTAGAAATATAGTTCTAATTAGTTGAAATCGGAACAAAAAGTTTGATATTAAATAGTAAAATATTTTAAAATTAGAAATACTATTATTATTCATACACAATAAGTTAAACAAAACATGATTTATAATAATAATAATAATAATAATAATAATAATAATAATAATAATAATAATAATAATAATAATAATAATAATAATAATAATAATAATAATAATAATAATAATTATTATTATTATTATTATTATTATAAAATTAATTTGTTTGTAAAAAGCTGGTATTGCATTTTCCTGGAGCAGCAACCACACATCTTCCCGACTCTCTTCTTCCTTACCGATCAATGGCGAAGGCGCCCTCCGGCTTCGCCGCCCCTTTCTCCTCTATCCGCCACCTAACTAACTTTCCTTTCTCTCTCACCTCATCTCAAACCACCCATTTCTCCACTCTCCGTTCCACCGCCGCCGCCGCCTCATTATTACCGGAATCCTCCACCAACCCCCACCCCACTCTCGAACTCATCGGCGGAGCCGCCGAAACATTCCTCCCCGCATTACACACCATTCACCTCCCCTACCTTCCTTACCCACTCATCGCTTGGAATCGCCACGTGGAGACTATCTTCGCCTATCCATGTTGGAAGCCGCCTGCCTCAAGCCCTGGGATTGAGTGTCTCCGCACAAGCGACGGCGGCCCGTCGCTGACTGGTTCCGGCGACGATCGTCACTGCTCAGATCTCGTCTCATTGCTGTAGTTTCATATCATACTGTACTCACATACATACATACAGCCGCATATATTATATTGATATGATACTTTTGTGTAATTACTGGTTTAATAATGATTCATCAATTTAATTTGAAATTGAATCTGAATTTGAATTTGAATTACATTCCGTGTCAATTTAGTCATAATCTAGAATACTTAATTTGGAGTATGATGAGTTTGAACATCGAACATTGTCGATTGCAGCCAGGTCTCACCGGTGGTAGCGGCGATACTTACGTAAGGCATATGCTGCTGCGAGCTCGGAGTAAACAATGGCGAGTCGTGGTGTTCAATAGCAGAGGTTGTGGTGACAGCCCCGTCACTACAGCTCAGGTACTTTCAATATTTTCTCCCATATTAGGTGCATTATACAATGAATGGATGATTAAATGCATCAAACTTGTCATATTAAGGGGATAAAATTTTGTGAAGTGTTGCCCTTACCTTATGATCGGGAGCTTTCATGTATGTTTATCGCCTGCTATTTATTTCATTACAGCTAATTTCTGCAGTTCTATTCAGCTTCGTTTTTGGGAGATATTTCTGAGGTAGTGGAGCATGTTGGCAAACGCTACCCAAGATCAAATTTATATGCTGCGGGGTGGTCTCTTGGAGCTAATATTCTTGTTCGGTATGTGGGTCAGGTAATAGATTTTTATTTTTTTTCTTGAACTTATAATTTTCCGTGCCTTTTGAAGTCAGTTTTCCATGTCTTGTGTGCTTAATCAATCAGCCTAGCTCATAACACACAATTTGTTAACTGCATTTCGTAATTTCTGGCAGGTTTTTAGTATTCACAAAATTCTTAAATTTGTTGGGAAGTTATTCATCAATAAGAAACAGCTTTTCAATTGTTATTGTTGTGTGTGTAGGAGAAAATAAAAATGGATACGTTCGAACAACTAGACCGAACTTCTGTCGTGTGGAACTTGGGTATTTTTATGGTTTTTACTTGGTCATTATGTTTTGTTAAGAGTATTATTTCCCACTGCAGTTGAGTTCCTTATGCTTCTTTAATAATAATTATTTTTGCAAAACGATCCATTATCCAGTTTTTAATTTGTTGATTTGAAGTGCTATGCATGAAAGAGTGAAATAACATGACATCGAGAGAAACTAGTTCATTTCTATTACTCTCTAGTTACAATTTTCAATTTTCAAACATCTTTCACTTGAGAGATGATGAAATCATTAGCGTTGTAAAAGCAGTGACTGCAAAGTTCGTGCCACAGAAGTTTATCAACCAGTAATGGGGTTCTTACATTAGTGAGCTTTATGCATTAGATACTTGTTGGCATTTTATTTTTCTAAGGGACTTTTGAGGAAATAAAAATTTCACTATCGAAATGCAAAAGAATTAGCAACGGTGTTCCTATGGATCTTTGCACAGTCAAATCAACTGAACGGGCAGTGGGGCCAGTAGTTGACTTTTTCCCACTAAAATTACCTATTAAGCCCTTGTATTTGATTAACTGTCTGAGTCTAACTATCATTCCTTTGGTATGGAACACTTTGCTTTTTTGTTTATAATATAGTGGAAACAAGCAGCTCCTCCTCGATATTAATGTTTGCATGTACTTTAATTTTCCGATTTCTCGAAGTTTTACTCTTTCCTCGACAGACAGTCTAATAATTTGGCGAGATTTCCTTACATAATGGCCAAGTCAACATGTATCAAACAAACAAATATAGCAAATTTGGCAGCATTGTAGTTTGACTTTTCTGTACATGTCTACTAAGAGAATATTATCTATTGCGCCGCCATCTTATTTATTTTCTTTCGTCGCAGGAATCGTTCTCGTGCCCTCTTGCCGGTGCCATATCCTTGTGCAATCCTTTTAATTTGATAATTGCCGATGAAGACTTTCGTAAAGGCTTTAACATCATTTACGACAAAGCTCTATCAAATTCTCTGTGCAAAATTTTCAAGAGGTTCCCTAATCTCGTGCATTATTATTTCCTCGACTATGTTTTCTATTACAATTATTTTTCTCGTTGACGTTCGTAAACTAAATCACAATTATGCAGGCACGCTCTTCTGTTTGAGGATATTGGTGGTGAATATAATATCCCGTTGGCTGCTAATGCTAAATCTGTTAGAGAATTTGATGATGGACTAACACGAGGTTTGTACACTTAGTGTTTATAGATGCGTAAAAAACTCCGGCGGTATGTAAATCTGACCACTAATTGGTTTGCTATTGATAATTTCAGTTTCGTTTGGATTTAAATCTGTAAATGATTACTACTCAAACTCGAGCAGCTCGGATTCCATAAAGAACGTTTCCATACCTCTGCTTTGCATCCAGGCAAGTCCGTTTTTTCAAATTCTGTGTTACTATTTGTTGCCGAATTCACTATTTACGAACTATATTTAAATTAATAGTAATTCGGAAATTCTATATAAGCTGTGGAAACTGAATTAATTGCTTCTGTCAATAATTACCGGATAATTTTTCAGTTTTCGGTTTGGTATCTATTTATCAGATTTCTCTAGAAGCAACATAAGGAATATTAAAATCTTATGTGTATCTTTTCGATCATCCCTTTCGACAAGTACAAAGATAAAAGAAGTATATAAGTAAATAATAAACATAAAACATATTAGAAGCTAGATAAAGAGTATATGAAACAATTGGTGTTTGGTTCGATTCGACAAAAATCGAAACGGAAAACCAGAAACCAAAAACCAATAAAATAATCATTGTATTTGAAAGTGTAAAATGTGAACCCTATATGAATTGAATTGAATTATGTATCTATTTCCAGGCAGAGAACGATCCGATTGCTCCATCTCGGGGAATACCTCGTGAAGACATACAGGTTTTACGAGCGTTTTTTTTCATGTGTTGCTTCGTTATGCTATTTCAAGGGATAATCATACTCATTTTTTTTTTCTATTTTATGATTTTTTTTTTTTGTTTATGTCAGAAAAACCCGAACTGTATGTTGATAGTAACACCGAAAGGTGGGCATTTGGGTTGGGTGGCGGGTCGTGAAGCTCCGTTTGGAGCTCCGTGGACCGACCCGATTGTTATGGATTTCTTGGAATACTTGGAGAAGCCTTCTTCTTCAACTGATCTTCTATCTTCTTCCAACGATGCAAATGATCTTCACCAACTCGAGGTATAGGCATCCGTTATTAAATGATTGTACTCGAAATATATATTGTTAATTATTATTATTATTATTTATGGAATCGACATCATTAATCATTTCACGATATCTTGTTGGGTGCATGGAAAAACATAAATTCGTATCGGTGATCAGAAAGTTAGGAAATTATCAAGAATTCAGTCTTTGTCTGCCCAATTCGATTTATTGTCGGTGGCTCTCAACGCGGGTAAAATTGAACATCACATGAAAACGTTTATTTTCTGTCGTGCGATTTCCTCGGATATATCTATCATACATTTTTTTTAGAGATATATATATTTTTTTTATTGAAATATGAAAAAAATAAAAAATGAAAGCAAATTGCACAGCTCGAAAGAAAGGCAAGTGTATTCTGTTTTAGTGCAAGATCGAAATCAACTTCGAAGGGGCTTAATCCAATAGAACCATTCCTTCCGACTAACTAAAAATGTTAGTCGAATAGCTAAAAACACTTTTTCGACCAACAAAAAAACTTAGTCGACTAACCAAAAAAATATAATCGACTAATAAAAAGATTCAGTTGATTAGCTAAAAACTGATTCAGTTGACAAAAAAAATTAGTTGAACACCGAAAAAATTTAGTCGATTTGGATTTAGTGGATTCGGGTTTGGTCGACATGAATTTAGGCTTGTTTCTGAAAGTAACGTTTACTATGATGGAGCGGGGTAAATTTAGTTCAAATGAAAATGTGGATGTTCTAAAAAAATTTGGGGGTATTTTGGGTATCAAAGAAATAAAATCGGTTATCTCAAATGAAAAAAATAAAAAAATGTCCTTATCTCTAATAAAATTTGATTTAAGGAAATGGGGATGACTAAAACAAATTCCAATTTTTTCTGACTCCAATACCAAAAAAAAAAAATTGAATAATAAATAGGTAATGACATAAATACCCTTAATGAAAATAAATATCATATAAATATTAAAAATTTCATTTTTCTTCCTTTAATACCAACAAACACACAAAACTCCTCAAACCCATCTTCTTATTCACAAATCCCTCAATCTTTTCCTTCTTCCTCACAACAAACCCTTCTAAAAAATCTCAAAACTAAAGAAATTAAAACCTCACACAACTTGTAAAATAGAGTTTGACAACAAAATGATAGTTTACGACTAAGGAGAACACATTAAGGTAAGTATCGATGTCTTTTTTGAGCTTCGAAGTCGATTTTGAAGTTTTTTTTTTTTTTTTGAAACCCGCCGGCAATTTTCGACACATACAAGTCGATTTTTTG